TCCCTTATCGGATCTTATCAGATGTTATCAGCTTCTGTCAGCCACCACCTACCGTGTATATCACTTCTTGAAATCCCGCAGCTGCTGCAACTCGCGCTACGAATTCGGTCACCCTTCCCTTCTAAGGCCCATCGAATCTTATCAAGTGTTATCACCTTCCTGTCACCCACCAAAATGTTCCCGTCCTGCCGTGTATATCACTTGAAATCACGGTCCCGCAGCTGCTGCAACTTGCGCTACGATTTCGGTCACCCTCCCCTTCTAAGGCCCATCGAACTTATCAAGTGTTATCACCTCCTGTCACCCACCAAAAGTGTTCCCGTCCTGCCGTGTATATCTTGAAATCACGGTCCCGCAGCTGCTGCAACTTGCGCTACGATTTCGGTCACCCTCCCCTTCTAAGGCCCCTTATCGAATCTTATCAACTGATATCACTTCCTGTCACCCACCAATAGTGTTCCCACACCCCCTACATCACTTCTTGAAATCAATGTCTCATCTGCTATTGGGACCGGCGCTATGAATTTCGTGACAAAGAGACAGACGGACACACACACGCACGGACATAGCGGATTTATGTACTAGGATAACATCCCGCCAACGCTTTCGTATCCCCTCCTCTAATCAAAGCTAAGTGGAGAGCTCATGGCTCGTCTGCGGGACCATCGCTCGGCCACTCTGGTTGCCTGTGCTCTGAGCCTGACCTTTTCTGGGGAGAAGTACAGAGTAGCAGCCGGGTAATATCCTCCACCTCCTCCCCTTACAACTACGAAGCGCTGCGTTGAACACAGGCAAGATTTTCGCACCATCTGCTTCTCCACCAACAGATACTACAATTTGTTTAAAAACTTCACGATGACCAAAGATGTACAGTCTCGTTCCCTGCGGAAACGTGTCAGGCGAAATGGATTTGGCGCACCAGTTGTTGAAGGGTGACTGTTAGCCGACATCTGGCTGCCCACCCATCGTGTTTCCGCATTGCGCCTCTTACAGGTTGAAAGGCATTAGTCACCCAGAGAATAGGGCAAGTAACTGATCTCACATGGTTGATACTCGGTATATTTAACACCATGCAAACCGTGTGACATTGACATACGTGGTCTTCCACACCTTCTTCGCTTCGCGCCCTTTAAATAGCAGAGCAGTCATGTGAATATGTAACTGCCCTGTAGATCTTGATGTCATCGGCAAACATCTGACAAATAACCCCCTCGCTTTGGACAAATAGAAGGATCCCCGCAAAACGGCAGTACGCAATGTGTTCAAAAAAAATTGCGCGGTTCGCAGCCACGACTCTGAAATTACTCCGTCTCGACTAATGAAAAATTTATGACAGAAAAAGAAAAACGGAAGGATGTGAGCAATAAGAGAAAACGACAACGATAGTGAACTGAATAAAAATGTGTTGGAAAAAAAGCCAATAACAAAAGAAGTACCAGGTGAATCTAAGTTTATGTCATCATAAAAAAAGATGTGGGATTAGTACGACGTTATCACTTTACTACTTGAAACAATCTATACAATTATACATCCAACAATAATTTGGCATGTCACGGAAACCCAAATATTGACAGCTCTTGACATGTGACCTTCGAAAGTCTGCGGAGATAAAAAGTCTTACAATTGCAGAAATATCTGATTATTTTTGAAATCTAATCATTTAGTGAAGTTCGACAAGGTCAATCCAATTCCTGTGGATGATCTCCACTTTCGGCTTCCGCCATCTTCCTTCTCATCAGTGACTTGAACATTGACACGACCTCTCGCGAATTTGGAGAAAACGCGTCCTCCTCACTCTCAATAATCTGCAATCACATAAATATAACGCTTCCAAGTGAAGACAACTTTTTAAAGATACGTATATTAGCTACTGCACAGAATTTAGGGCACGACATCAATTTTTCTAGGAATCAACGATACAGCTCGAAATATACCATCGGGTATTAGCCATTTTTTTAGAGTGATAAGGCATGATAATTTGGTACTCCGTCTAGAATGATTTCAATGGTGCTGTATGGGGGGAAATTTCGAGAAAGCGAAGTAAAACGGTCAAAAAGAGGCGGAGAAACTTTTGTTCGGAAAGCGATTTTCGAGTTATTCGTTGGCATCCTTATTAATCCTAACCATATTAGGGACTCGTCAAGCTACTTGCCTTCAAGAGCGAAAATTGTGTGCCACATATGAAGCCCCTACAGTGAAAAGAGCGCTCGTGCAATAGCATGGGAAATTATGCCAGCGGCACAGTGGAAGTATAGGTGGACACTTCAAAACCACAAAAAAATCTCGGTCATAAAAACGCCATTTGCTTTCAGTGCAGCGGAAAATCGAACTTTTTTTCGATGGGATAGGTTTCAGCAAGTTCTACGTGCGAAACCTTCATGAGTTACAGGGCTGTTGTTGACCGGACATGCTCTCGCTACGAGGGTCCAGAGGTATTTTCTCATCGCATCTACTAGCCAGTAGTTGAAGGGAGAAGGTAAAGAAGGAGGGAACAGAGAAGGAAGGAAGGAAAAGAAGGATGGAGGAAGAAAAAAGGAAAGAGAGAGAGGCTTCCGGTTGACAAGTGCCCTGAGACGGTGTTCCACTATCGTCTCTCGAGTTGTGGAAAGGGAGAGATGAAGCTGGAGGATGTAATCGCCGAATTTCCTGCCAACCCCTGTCCGACATGATGCGCAGACCACAGTTTCAGCGTCTTGCCAACAAATTCGTTGCGCCGTCTGGATTGAAGTGAAGGCACAAACACGCCGTGTTCATATTTTGCCTCAGCGTCTGCCAGCGTAGGCAGCATTTCGAGCGTACGCCAGCTCCGGCGACTAAGAAAGTATAGATATCGACATCGATTCAGCGCACAGCAGCGTTTTTGGTGGCAGTTTTGCTCAGCCTCAAATTACTCGTGAAAACGCTGGCATACAGTGGCGCTTTCGCGTCGTTACGCTCTCGCAAAGTATGAACGCAGCCATACGCAGGTCTGTGGCTACACAGCGTCACTTGCGACTACAGAGAACAAAAGGCGAGAACGGATAGCACGTGTGTTGGATGAAGATGCACATAGCCGGTGCCAGGGATTTTTTTTCGCGACAAGAAGACTAAGACTTCTGAATAAAACTTGAGAGCCTGCACAAAGGTATATATAAGCCTTACCGAGAAACTTCTTTGACAGGATTGAAAAGAGTTTGAAAAACCTTGGGTATTTGCACATCAACATTGGCTTAAAATGGGCTCACCTGCTTCATTAGCGTAGTGGATTGATCAACAGTAGGAGGAGGCAAGACAACGATGGGAGATCCGTCGACTGAGAAAGCAACCTCGTTGCCTTTAGCAGCACGGAAGTGACGTTCTCTTCAAAAAACAATTGAACTGTGAGAGATAGCACGCACATCAGTCTTCCAACACTCACTCACCTTACGTCATCGATTTTTGGTCTTATGACTGATGGGAGATTCGAGTACGCCAGATTTTGTTGCAGAGGAGTTCGCATGCTGAAACCAGGCAGCACAAATGGAAATGATGGCATAAAGTCATTAACTTTCGAAAATCTAAAACGGGAACAAGTAAGAAGACGGCTTCAGAAAGAAAATCAATTAATAACAACTCACGCTTCCACTTCTTCATGCTCTTCTCGTGCGGACGTTTTAGTAACTGGTATGGAAAGATTCTCGAAAGCGGCGACTGCATCAGTGGCAATGTCAATCTTCAAAGAGAACAGTTATAACTTTGAACCTGTTATGGCAGCAGACAGTAATTAGAATGTAACCTGATCACTATGAGCTTTTCTCCCCATGGGAACGCAACAGCAATTACTGACGCAGCGTTCCTCTGACGCAGCGTTCAGACTTACGTCGACACGCGAAGACGCGTGTCGACACACGACGCTTCGTTGTCACCCGCATCGAAGTTGATCGATCGCAACAGCGCTCCGGTGCTATGGAGAACGCAGCCGCACACGGGAATTGATCAGCACGACCGCTTCTGTTTTGAGAAAGTATAAGTCTAGGAGGGCACGCGCTTCCTATCACGCAGCTTAATTGATCGCCGCGTGTCGTTAAAACTTTGGTAGAGCATAGAAGGAAAAGAGTGTGTCATCAAGTGCGAAAGAAAGAAGTGCAGAAAGAGAGTGCGTGAAAGCAGTGCCCTCATGTTGTTCTATACCCTTCGTATATAAAGGCCAGCACAAATCCATGAGCTCTATAGAACTGGAGCGCTGTTGCTATTGTAGCGCGAAGTCTGAACGCTGCTTAAGACCAAAATAAAAAAGTGAAACTGACAAAGTTTTCAGCAGTGTCCTCTTCTTGTGAGTCTTTCACCACACAGTCGTCAGGCAGAGCTTCATCGCTTATAAAATCGAACAGGTTAGCATCAAGAACTTCCTGTAAAGCTAGATCTGAACGCGAAATACACTCGAGTGTAGCATATCCCTCCCATCCTAATCGGGGTGTTTCATAACTGCTGAGCCGATGCATTGCACGCACTACGAAGAAAATTTCCTCATCAACTGTCATAAGATGACGAGACTGTACGCGTAAGGCCGCGATCATAGCTTGCGTTCGTGAAGAAATGCAGAAATGCCGAAACTGCAGACGTGCGGAAAGTGCAGAAATGACGAAAAGCATTACATACGTATCGATTTGAAGAAATGCCGAAAGTGAAGAAGTGCGGAATCTGCAGAAATGCCGAAAGTGCGGAATGTGCAGAAAAGCAACCGATACGTATCGATTTTCCACACTTTCGGCATTTCTGCAGATTCCGCACTTTCGGCATTTCTGCATTTCTTCAAATCGATACGTATGTAATGCTTTTCGTCATTTCTGCACTTTCCGCACGTCTGCAGTTTCGGCATTTCTGCATTTCTTCAAGTCGATACGTATCTATTGCTTTTCTGCAGATTCCGCACTTCTGCATTTTCCGCATTTCTGCATTTCTTCACGAACGCAAGCTATGAACGCGGCCTAATAGCGCCGCCCCTTCAAGTGGGATGGCCCCTGGCGCGAATGCAGCACACAACACCCCATATGCGACACGTTCTTTTTACCACATCCGCCGATACTCGGAAGTAACAATATTTACCAATCCCTGAATAAAGGTTGAACAAAAGGGGGACATTTCTGAGGAAACTCACATGGAGAGGGGCATTTTCACCACTGCAAACAGGCTTCAAACATGAAACAACGACTAGGAAAGTCAGATGCCACAACAAAAAACGTTTTGGGTTGCGAAAAACTTTGGGAAGCTAACATTATTAGGGGGAGGGGGCAAGCATCAGCGCCTCTGTTTCCTCCCCTGCTTAAGGCTTAGGCTTAGTGGAGATCATCTTTCTCCGGTAGACTATCTTTTGGCGACCCGGGTCATTGGGCCCCGAAGCTAAGGCTTCTTGGGGAAAGGATACCCAGAGACATGTGGCTGAGAGGTCCTCGTAACCCACCTCTATGTACATTACAGCCAAGCTCGATGCTTCTTATTTTTCAAATCTGCGTGGCATTCAGCAGAAGATCCAGGCGAAAGTAAGGAGATATCTGTGAGCCATAATCTTTAAGATTATTTTTACAGTTAAGGGAAGAGTGCAGGGCTCGCAATAAAAAGTTAAATGGCCGTGTGTGGGTAGTGTACCGTGGTGAGCTAAGACGTGTCGACGAGCTCCCTAATAGACGGGGCTCGGGAAACGCCTAAGTCGCCACGGTCCACTCCCGGGTATTCGATGTTACCTTTTAATTCTAGAAGTTTAAGCAATAAGATGCACCATTTGCACTTTTTATTGGACACATACGACCCAGATATGGTTTTCATCACCGAAACATGGCTTTCCTCGAGAATTACAAATTCCGAACTTCTTGAAAGTCGCCCCTACAATATTTTCCGGCTTGATCGTAAGGAGCGTAAGGGTGGGGGTGTTTGTTGTATAGCCAAGAATGCATTTTTTCTAGCTTCTGTTGCAAGCCCAGCTTCCCTCAACTCTGAGCTACTTTGTCTAGATGGCTATGACATATCCTCCGCTGTTCTGTTTAGGGTTGTGCTTGTTTATAGACCACCTAATTCTACGTCAGATGATGAAGTACCCTCATCGACTCTTTGCTCGATCTATGTACTTCGAATAGGCATCTGGTTATTCTAGGCGACTTTAATATCGATGTTGACTGGAAAATGGGCAGGGCCAACAATCCTGTTTCCGCTAAGTTTCTAGAGTTCTTTCGGTGTTGTGGCTTTGTTCAGCATGTAAATATGCCCACACGAGGAAAGTCTACTCTGGACATAATACTATCCAACACTGATATTGTTAGGAACGTTTCGGTATTACCTCCTCTAGCAGCGTCTGATCACAGCATAATATCTTTTAGACTTATCATTTCCTCATCTAGGCCGACAAACTTCCATTACCCAACTTCGCCAAAGCCGATTACTCTTCGCTATCGGAGTACTTTTCCTCTATAGATTGGTGGAGCGTATTTGATGGATATGCTTCTTGTGAGGACATGTACAAAAGATTTTGCCGCGTTGTCTACGCAGCACTATCTAAGTATGTACCCTTCAATTCCGTATCTGTGCCACTAACGAAATATCCGAGACATATCAGCAATTTGTTAGCTCAGAAAGCGCGGCTTTATGTTGAGTCACTACAATGACCCATTGTCAGCTCTTCAGTACAAAAACGTTTGTCGTGAACTTGATCATCACTTAAAGAGATTCCTGTCTTATAGGGAAAAAAGGGTTATCAATAGCCCAAACAAAAGAGTTCTCTTTGCGCTAATTAAAAGTAGGCTTAGGACTCATACTGGTATACCTGTGCTTCATGACGATGCAGGAAATCTTTTCGTAACTGATGTACAAAAAGCTGAAGCCCTCGCCAAGTTCTTTTCTTCCGTTTTCTCCTCTGCGGGTAACATAAACCTTGACGTAAGCTCCGAAAGTCGTGTATCTCTTGAAACTATCAGGGAGTGTGTGGTTACAAATGAAGACGTTTACAAAATACTAAGATCGTTCAAGTGCTCCACTTCGGTTCCTTTCGATGGTATTCCACAAATTGTTTATAAAAATTGTGCCCTTTCCTTATGCAAACCTATTTGTATGATACTCAATGTATCTCTCATGTTCTGTGAGATCCCGATGAGCTGGAAAGAATCTATTGTGACTGCCATCCCTAAGGTACCTGAGCCTAAGCATGTCTCTTCGTTCCGTCCTATAAGTATAACGGCACCCCCCGCTAAAGCTCTAGAGAAGATTTTGCGTGACAAAATTGTATCCCATTTGATCAAGAACAATCTGGTTCCCGCAGAGCAACATGGGTTTATTAGTGGTGCTTCCACAGGTACCCTTATGGCAGACTGTCTGTTCGATTGGAATTTAGCTATTAACAAGGGGAAGGGTGTGGACGTTATTTATTTCGACTTGTCCAAAGCGTTCGATAAAGTAAATCATGAAAAGCTCCAATACAAGTTGTGGCAATTGGGTATCGAAGGCCCCATCCTTAGCTGGATCAGCTGTTATCTGAAGAATAGACACATGTTTGTCAAAGTGGGTGATACAGCTGTTATCTGAAGAATAGACACATGTTTGTCAAAGTGGGTGATACTTTTTCACAGTTTCCCCTGCACTAGTGGAGTTCCACAGGGTGGTGTCTTGTCTCCTTTGCTGTTTCTGATGTACACCTACGACCTTCCAGCCTGCCTAAACACTCACCCATTGGTCAGCGTTAAAATGTACGCCGATGACATCAAAATATATGGTGTCTATGACAATTATAACCATGACTGCGTTCACCGAGCGTTAACCCAATCTATATGTAACATGATGGGGTGGGCTACTGCTTGGGGTATACCAGTCAATTTTATGAAAACTTCTGTACTTCACATAGGAAAAGCAATAGTTGTACCGTACACCGTCGACGGCATCCCCATAAGTGTTTCGAGAGAAGTTCGCGATCTTGGGATGCTCGTAAATTCCACTTTGGATTTCTCGCATCACATAGATACTATTGTTCGCAAAGCTCTCGTGACCCTCTTTGCAATCCTGAGAAATATCCGAGAAAACGACTCTTCAGTTTTACTGAAGCTTTATAAAGCATACGTCATACCCATTCTCGAATACGGTTCGCAAATATGGAGCCCTCATACTAAGAAGCTCCAGGTGAAAATCGAAAAGGTGCAGCAAACTTTTACGAGAGTTTTGATGTATCGTTGTTTTCCCGATCCTGAGTATCCGCATAGTATGCCTAGCTATCAGGAGCGCCTACACATTTTCAACCTCGAATCACTGATGTATAGAAGGGTGTTCAATGATATTATGTTTTGTTTCAAGATACTGAAAGGAGAGCTTAGGTTGAAACCCAGTAAATACTGGGTGTTCAGACCGACAAATGGTCGCACCTCCTCGTTGTCCTTACAATGTCCTAAACTGTGCAATGGCCACCGAACCAGAGTTTTCAACTCACTGTTTTTCCGTGGAGCGAGGTATCTCCAATTACTTCCATCAGACCTGCTGGAGGCGCCTAACACCTACACGTTCAGAAAGAGACTAAAGAAGGTCGATCTGATGACCTTGCTAAGCATTCAGGATTCCTGAATCCAGTAGTTTAGTGAAGTCTTTCCTCGGTTTTTGTGTTACCGAAATTTTTTTTATGGTAATCGTATTTTTGGTTGTTCTATTACTCTAAGCCTATCGCTTGTACTGCTTAGCGCACCTATGCGTGCATGATAAATAAATAAATAAATAAATAAATAAATTCCTCTCCTGGCCTGAACACTAGAGCAACAAAGAAGCATCATCTAACAGAGGGTTCTAGGGTTCAGGGATCAAAAAACTGAGGTGAAAGGGTTAGGCCCCTTTTTTGCGTATTGTTCACATTACACTAGTCGATTTGCGCGGACTGCTAATTGTCTTAGGCCGCGTTCATACCGTGCGACGTCTTTTGCGTAAGTTGCGTAAGCTGCGACTAGTTCGTGAAGAATACATACGTATCGATCCGACGAAAGCTGCGTAAGTTGCGTAAGCTGCGTAAGTTGCGACTAGTTTGTGAAGAACACATACGTATCGATCCAAAGAAAGCTGCGTAAGTTGCGTAAGTTGCGTAAGCTGCGAGTGCGTAAGCTGCGTAAGTTGCGTAACCGACGACAACTTCGAGAAGAATAGATACGTATCGATCGGTTAGCTGTCGTCGGTTACGCAACTTACGCAACTTACGCAGCTTTCGTTGGATCGATACGTATGTATTATTCACGAACCAGTCGCAGCTTACGCAACTTACGCAGCTTACGCAGCTTTCGTCGACGTTGACGACGACGTCGCACGGTATGAACGCGGCCTTAACGGCTACAGCCCCGTCTGAGGTCACTTTGCCCATAACTCACAATTCCAGTGATACCTGGAGACTTTCTGTACATATATGATGGATATAGATCACTTTCTGACGTCTCAGCTAGCATAGAGAAACGAGAAATTCCTATTTTTTAGTTAAACTTGTCTCGAAAAACCTTTACTCACCTTTGGAAGTACAGATTCCGCAGCTTTCATAACATCTTCACGAATTTTAGAGTACACCTCGACACCCTTACTAATTAGGGCGTCATAGCGGAATTGCGCTGAAAAAGTAGTTTTGGCATCAAAGCTTTGTTGATACAAATCGGTCATACCTTCTTTTTTATGCACATCCAAAAAGTCGAGGATATCTCTCTCCAATTTTTCTTTATTTGCAGAACTCTGTTTGACGGGATGCTTACGCGACATATTTCCTCTGAATTGGCCCGATCTCTTCAGAAAACAGAGCGACAGGCTGAAACCACTCTTGAACGTAGATTTCGATCAGAATTAGCACAAAGTTGAAATATCAAATTTCGCGCGCCCATCGCAATAGAAGGATGTGTGTAATGCACCAGACGCGACCACCGTATTCCACGCCTGTTTTTAGTTTACTTGCCTTTGTGCCTCCTTTGGATCTGTGGACTTCATACAATAGTGAGCATAACGGGGAAGTTCTAGCTTATTGACCTTTAGCTTTTCCTCAAAGTTCTGTGAAATTTCCGTGAGATTCACGGCTTTGAAAGCAAATGGAGGGTGGGTATGAGCACGGTTTCACTAAAAATAGGGTGCTAGGTTCGAAGCAGCGCTGTTTTCGTCACTTTCTCAATTTGCATAGGTTGCAAACTGTCAGCAATGTCTTGAGTTTAGCCTAAAGGTACGGTATTCGCTGGGAGTATGCAATTTCAGCAGCTGCCGGCGGCGAAATTCGATGGATACATGCAGGATGTATTTTGGTCTATGTATGATGAACTCCTTTGTTTTAGGTTTGTTTGCTTTCTGTTATCAGTTTTCGCTTTGATAAAAGTGTCTCGAGAAGTGACGATTTCAGTTGGCAAACGTGGGATGGAGTCGGAGCTACTGAAGTCGCGCGCTATTCCGATTTCTGCAGAATCTGTGCGAATACTCGAATCACCAACGGATTTTTACCAATTTCTTTTGGTAAGTAGTTTATTTTTACATATTCTGCTCGTTAGACCATCTTCACGTTCCCACCGATAACTTGGTCACTGTTTGATGTTCTATGTTTTAATGTATGGTAATTAGGGTTCTGTCTTACAACTGGCAGAACTCCTAGCGTGTGAAATAGCGACACAAGTTTGTTTTTAAGAGCTCATGACGCTGACGTAAGGAAGTGTGGCATTTTGTGAAATAGCTCGTCAGATTATGCTCGCAGTTTTGCACTGCGGGTTTTATGAAGTTTTGATCTTCGTTTTGTCAGTTTTCTGCTTATGTTGGGTCACATTTAATGCTTGGAGGTGCAAAGATACGATTGTGAGCCAAGGGATGAAGATTCTTGCTTAGGCCGCGTTCATAGCTTGCGTTCGTGAAGAAATGCAGAAATGCGGAAAATGCAGAAGTGCGGAAAGTGCAGAAGTGCGGAATCTGCAGAAATGCCGAAAGTGAAGAAGTGCGGAATCTGCAGAAATGCCGAAAGTGCGGAATGTGCAGAAAAGCAACCGATACGTATCGATTTTCCGCACTTTCGGCATTTCTGCAGATTCCGCACTTCTTCACTTTCGGCATTTCTGCAGATTCCGCACTTCTTCACTTTCGGCATTTCTGCAGATTCCGCACTTCTTCACTTTCGGCATTTCTGCAGATTCCGCACTTCTGCACTTTCCGGCA